AATTTCAAAAAATCGTGAATAGATGTGAGTGAAGCACAATATCAAAAGATCGGGAGATTATTAGCTTGGTCTCGAAGTTTTAACCCAATTGGGTTTTCTTCGTCGGCAAATTTTGTGTTGTTTATTACTTTCATATTATTGATTGTGGCATTCAAATCATAGGATAATCTGACGTAATTAATTAACAATTTAGAAATAATTAAAAAGTGACTTTTTTTCTTTTAATTGTATAATTCCTCACATTAGGTCAAAATAAATTAGCAAAATCTAAACTTTCAAGTGATATAAGAGCTTTTCACTCACAGAAATGATATTTATACTCATTTTACAATATTATTTGTTAGTGATCCGGTACACTTGTTCGACTTGACAGGGCATTGCCCAATATATTTTAAAAGCAGTAAATATAGAAGTGGGAAAATTATTTTTCCCTCATTTCAACGCACACAAATAGACGAAAATTATTATAAAGGATGAGAAGTAAAAATTAATAAAGGGTTAAAGAAAAGAACTCAACGAAAAAAAGATAGCAACATAAGTTCTACAAGAGCAATGATCGAAGAATTTAAATGCAATCAAAGTGTAATGTAACAAGTAAAAATACAACGTAAATATAATTATCTGGAATAGAATCGTTTGAAATTTTTTGGATTCAATTTTTTTATGGGGCCATGACAAAAATTATTATTTAGTTGTTAAAGTTATTTACAATCAAATTGAAAGTTTCCAATATTGCTTATTTGGCAATAACAAATTTTAACACCTGTTCCACGTAGCTATGACTATGCTTCTATTATGAAAGTATTAAAATTAAAAGGAAAATGTGTTAACATTATTGTTCTACCAGTACCATCCACACGCTTTCTAGCAACTCACACCACCAAGCCCTGCTAGTCCACTACTAAAAATTCCAGATACATAGCACTTTTCGACAAGATCATATGCCCTAGCCTTACATATTACGAATAGAAACACAACTTGCTGCCCGGGGGGGGGGGGGGGGCCCAAAAAAAAGATAGGATATTCTAGGAAATTTGACCTCCCAAATGCTGATTTTCAAGGAACAATATAACTCTAAAGACTAAAAATACATTTACAGAAATAATTCATCCCCCTTTCTTCATTCTTTATTTGAATTTAAATATGAAAATGTTGTGCCAATTATCTTCTAAAATCAAGAACCATTTCAAAAATAAGAAAATACAAAATTAAAACCTGAAAATAAAGAAATCAAATAAATTACAAATATAGAAATGTATAATCTTCTTCCTCCGATAGTTTTGAAATTCACCATAATTGCAAGAAAATAGAAAATATATTTGACCAAAACTGATAAAAGGACCCTGAGCCAAAATTAAAAAATAATAATAATAAACAAAAAATAAAATAAAATAAAATATATGCAAGTAGAAGTTCAATCGTTCATCCAAGCATTTTACTTGATATCACTTGATAAAAAAAATTAAATAAATCGTTTTCCAACACTTTGTTAGGTATATCATATGAAGTTAGATAATCTTTAATGTCCTGGATTAATATGTTATTGAAAGTTCAATTGGTTTCTGCTTACGGACCATGCATGGACTTTCACTTTATATATGAAAATGTCATCAACTGATAATGCTATTTTTCCCCATAAATAACTTGAAAATAATATGCACTAAGCATAATTCAAGAAGCATGGCTAATACCAAAGTCAACGTCCTTACTATCTTTTTAATATGTGGTAGTAAAGCAGTCATTTCTAGGTGCGGACGTAGACATTTTGAATTAGGGGCTACAGTCAAACCTTATATAGATTGAATATTTTGTTCTTGGTTTTTGAATAATTCATGCTTAACTCAAAAAAATGCAGAATTAAGTCTAAAAACACATTCCTTTATCAATATTTTGTTCATCATTTTAATCTATTTGAATTTGAACAATCTTTTTATTAATATTTTGCTCATCACAAGAAAATACATATTTACATTTAAAGAATTTATAGTGTATTTGATACAAATAATCAATTCAAGTAATAAAAAGAAAAAAAAAACATATAATCAATATTCATTACTAATATTCAATCAAATAAACACAATTTATTAAATATAAGTCAAATGGGACATAATTGTTTAAGGCTCATTCTATATACACAATTTGATAGGAGAAAATGTAAATTTAAGTTCAAAATATGATTAGGAAGTGAAGTAAATGTCATAATTTGTAGAGAAATTATAAACAAATTTTAAAAAATTAGAAGAGTCAAGGTTTTGGTAGTGTAAGGGAAAGTGAAAAGGTTCAAATCTATTGTGATTTTGTTCCTATTTGATGGAGATTGAAATCAAATTTATTGTAAATTTTGATAGAAGTTGAAAATTTTTTAGTCCCATGAAATATGTTATTAAAATTAATTGTTAATTTTTATTTATATTTATATTAAAATTTAGATTTTAAGTCATTACAATCATGGCTTTATTTAAAATAATAAGAATAATAATAAATATATATATATATATTCTCAAAAGTTGGGGGGTCACGTGACCCCCCAAACCCCCCTTCTCTTTGCCCTTGGTCATCTCTTACCCATTGATAAATCTTGTGTGTTTTGATCTTCATGTACAGAGAAGCGTGGAAGGTAATAAATAAGTTACTCGTGCATGTAACATATTAAGGTTTTGCATAAATTTTTACATACTAAGATCGTGAATTTATTAAGATCTTGTAAAGAGAAGCGAGGAACATATTTTGTACATAATATTGAATAAAACTAATTAGTATAATCAACAAGCTATCAACTTCTTTTTCTTTTTAACTATCAAGTTCTTCCACTTATAAGTTACT